GGGTCAAATGCTAACAATTAGCATTACATGTATAGCAAGTACCACCCGCAAATGCTTGCACATCTCACAAGTTTAAGAAGACTGAGACTTTTGTTTTCCTATGGACTTAAAATAAAAAGAAAACTACTTGTATGGCATATGGACACAATTTTCTGTTCTACATGACACTGGGGATTCTTTCAGCATCCGCCCCCGCCTCCACTCCGGCTCCCCGCCCCGGGCGCCGCCCCCGCCGCTCGAGGCGCTTCACTCCGGCGAGCCCGGAAGGGCCCCGGACTCCGACAGCGGCTCGGACGCCCCCTCGGACGTGGGTCCCGGGAGCCCGGCTCCGGCCGCGGAGGTGAGCGGGAGCTGAGACGAGGAGAGGGGAGTTGGGGGGCGCCTACGGCCAAGGCTGAGTGGGGAGTCTGGGATGGAGCCGGGGCTGCAGAGGCCCGGGGATGCGCAGGGGCCGCGGGGAGGCGGTTGAGGGAGGCTGGAGAGCAGCTTTAGAATGGAATCTGGGGGAAATGGAGGGTGTTGAGCCGAGGGCCTGCGGGGTACGGAGAGGCTGGGGGGCGAGAGGGCGTGGGAGACGGGAAGACGCCAGAGGCTTTTGAAAGCTGCGTCGCGAGGGCAGAAGATCTCAGGGTCCGCAGGAAAGTGGACCCGGAGGAGGGGATGCTCTGGGCTTCGGCCGTGGGGGTGACGGTCGGAGGAGCAGGACCCGGGCGGCGCTACCCCACGGCGAGGGCACCACGAGCCGTCTGACCTGCGTGGGGCTGGTGGTCACGAAGGGCAGGATTTCGGTTTGACTCGAAGAGGGAGGGCTCGTGGATGGGAGTCGTCTGGCTTGAACAGGGCTGAGGGAGGCGTTGAAAAAAGAGAAACGTGGTCAGGAAAGAAAAGGATCCCTTAGGGAGCTAATTTTGGGCTTTGGCATTTTTACAGGTGGCTTTCAAAGCGTCCCAGATCACTAGGACAATGCACTTGGATTGTGGGGCTTTCTCGTTTTGCACAGTGGATCCTTTTAAGACTCTGGGAGGCAAGAGGCGGTGTAAATCACTGATTTGCCTAAAGAACTGGGGGGAGTAGTGGAGAGGAAGTGGTTTGAAAAAGGTTGTGAGAGGAGTGATTCTGCAAATAGATCCTAAAAGAAGGTTTTGTTCGTTATCTTTACATTTTAAAAATTAAACAAGATTTGAGTACTCGGATTTTACAGATGCTCAATGAAGACTGGTTCCACTTCCACAGTTTCGGTTGACACATTTTTGCCACACGGTAAAAATATGGTCTTTGTAAGTTTCTGGGTTAAGGGGGCACATAAGACTAGAAGTGAAATCATCACAGTGCAGGCGTGTACCAGGCCTTCCTTTAACTGATATTTCAGGTTTGGAATTACTTCTTGAAAATTTGAAGGCTACTTTTGACCGATTTTTCAGGACCAATATTCAAATACTATTTTGCAGACATTGTATGAATAATATTTTTAGTACAGTGATCTAGAAAATTAAGGATAGAGGATGCTTGTCGTTGGCAGCCAACATAACTGGGACAGGTGGATACACAGATGTTTTTAACAGAAGACAGAGTACTGAAACATAATTATGCTAGAAAAATGATGATTGCAGTATTTACATTCACTTTAGTAGAAATAAATTAATTTCCCTTTGTAGTTGTTAAATCATAACATGGCTCCATAAAGCCTTTGTTTGGCTTTAGCCACATTTCTCATATGTTTTTCTTTCACAACTTTTAATTTGATTATAGACTTGTAAAGTTGTTGACCATTTCTAAACAAACTTTCAATCCAGTATTTTCTATTCTAAACAATTATCTACTGTTTGATCTTCATGAGATGATAATCTGATTGGCAACAAGCTTTCAAATGAGTCTATGTGTATAAATCACATACTTTCAAATGCTCTGTGAAATAATAATTATTTCTTCAAAGGAGAGGTGAATTCTTAGCTTTACTGTTAGCCAGGATTGTCAAATGATTAATTTTCATTTATTTAACTTAATAAAAATTATTTTTAGTTGAAGTTTACATAGTATTATTGTTTATTTCTTGTTTACCCTTAGAAGAGTGAGATCTTCTATAGTCCTTGTTCTTACTTAGCATTGAATAAAAGCCCTGGCATGTAAAAATTTGCTGAACTGAAATACAAGAACTCACTATTAAGATTACATCTTAGCCGGGCTCGGTGGCTCAGCCTGTAATCCCGCGCCTTGGGAGGCTGAGGTGAGTGGATTGCCTGAGTTCGAGACCCGCCTGGGCAACTTGGCGAGACCTTATCTCTACAATAAATCAAAAAATGAGCCAGGTGTGGTAGCGCGCGCCTGTAGTTCCAGCTACTCGGAAGGCTGAGGTGGAAGGATCGCCGGAGCCCAGCAGGTCGAGGCTGCGGTGGCCGGGAGCGGCCACTGCACTCCAGTCTGGGCGACAGAGTGAAACTCAAACTCAAACTCAAAAAAAAAAAAAAAAAAAATTACATGTTAATATTGCAAAGTTAAAGGGAGAAACTGTTAGATGGAGTTGTACAATTAATATTATTAGTATATATAATGGTTGTTTTATTTTTGTTTCCCTCTGTTAGTTCTCACAGCCAGTTAGTTATAAAGAAAATCAGTTTATATGAGATATGAATACAGTTCCATATTCTGCTAAATTACCTATGAGCTTTTTTGAAAGATTGTGGCATTTGGTGGAAAAATACAGTATGAGCTATTGTAATTCTTTTAATGGATGTAAGCTATAGAAGAGGACTACATTTTACTCCCAGACTGAATGTTTTACTTTTTACAGAGAAGGAGAGGAGGAACATTTTTATAGTTTATATAATGGGTTTGAAGTCTTGAGTCAGTTTCTTACTTTTCCACTATGTTGATTGAATTTGGGGATGTAGCATATTTAAAAAGAAAGATCTTACCAGTCAATATGTTAAAATGCCAGCCTAATTAGAGTAAGAATTAGAATTTTAGATATTTGGCTTCTTTACTTGTGTGCTCTGGTATACAGCCAGGTCAGGAACCCTTCACCAAATTTTGGTTGTATAAAGCCTTTTGCTGTAACCAAGGATACAAAATGGATATAAATCTGTCAGATTCTTATTAATCGAGCTGAGACAGTTCTGCATGTGGCATAGGGGGTTAGGTGCAACCTGATAGTGGAAGTCTTAGTTTAAAGAATAGTTGGTATCACTTCTCAGCCTTTTGGCTAAAGATTAAGTGTAAAGAATAGTTGGAGCCAGAAAAAATTTGTGTTCTTTGGTATGGATGACAACTTTGTGTGAGTAGCTTATGAGTGCATGGTCAGGGCATCAAAAAATGTTCAAGAACTGAAGTGTAGCTGAAAGAATGATGATATAACTGAGGAGGCAATTCGATTTTTTAAAAAAAATGTACTGCCCTAAATTCTACATCCCAGAAGTGGGACATAACAAAACAGTAGAAATATTTAATGTAGAGAGTGAAAGAGCCCATCCAAGGAGTAGCTATTAATAGATTGATCTTTATTTATTTAAAAAATATGCATATATGCCACATGTGCTATTTTTTAGGACATTTTGTGCCTCTTAAAAAAATTTAAAGTTGTTTATTTGTTTGTTTGTTTTTCAAGTTGGAGTCTCACTTCATCACCCAGGCTAGAGTGCAGCTCATGGCTACCCCAGCGCCGACCCACTGGGCTCAGGTGATCTTTCTGCCTCAGCCTTCCAAGTAGCCAGAACAGTAAGCACGCACTACCACATCCGGCTAATTTTTTTGTTATTTTATTGTAGAGACAAGGTCTTGCCAAGTTCCCCGGGCTGGTCATGAACCCGCTGACTCAGGCAATCCATTCGCCTGGGTCTTCCAAAGTGCTGGGATTATAGACTGAGCTGTTTGTTTTTAAATAATCGGAGATTCACAGGAAGTTGCAAAGATAATACAGAAAGATTCCATGTACTTCTCACTCAGTTTCATCTTACATTATTATAGTATAGTATCATATCAAAATTAGAGAATTGACGTTGCTTCAATATGTATGTGAAGTTCTGTGTAATTTTGTCTTTGTAACCATTGCCCTTATCAGCATACAGAACTATTCCATAACTACAAAGATCTCACTTGCTACTCCTTTATAGTTATCTCCAGTCCCTGACACATACCATCTGTAACCCCTGGCAACCACTAATCTATGTTTTCCATTTGTATAATTTTGTCAGTTTGAGAATGTTACACAAATGGGTCATCCAGTGTGTGACCTTTTGAAATTGACTTTTTTTCACTCAACAAATGCCTTTGAAACCCATCCACATTATTGTACATATAATAGTTTATTCGTGTTTATTGCTGAGTAGTATTGCATGGTATTGGTATACCATGGTTTATTCACACATTGTAAGATATTTTGGTTTTTTACGTGTTTCAGCTCTTACGAGTAATACCACTATGAGCATTTGTGTATAGATTTTTGTGTAGACATAAGTTGTTTCTCTGGAATAAATGCCCAGGAGTACAACTGTTTGACTTTCAAATGTCGAATCAGTCTTGCTTCCCTGAAATAAACCCTATTTGGTCATGATGCATCATTTGTTTACTTATTGCTAAGTTCTGTTTGGTAATTTTGTTAAGGATTTTTGCTTTTATATTCATGAGGGATATTGGTCCCTCCTATTACAGTTTTTCTGTAGGTGCCGTCTTCATGGTGCTATGTGGAGGTTCAGGTTTTCTACTGGCATCTCGGTCTTGCTCTCTCTCTACTGTGGGGAGGGGAGGAGTTGAAGAGATGAGGTTTGTGGATGACCTTGTTACCACTGAGCAGTGATGCTGGTCCTGACCCTCCACCAAGCTTCCTATGGCAGCACCTCAACAAAGAAAGGGGGGCTTCCTCATACATGCTGTGTAGGTTAGAAGTCCACGTTCTGCATATGGTCTTCTCTGACACCCTGTTAGGAGATTGGGGAAGACTTGTAACTGCTAGGCAGTGGTGACAGTCCCAGCTCCCTACTTGGCCTTCTCTGATACCATCCTGTTGTGGGCGGGAGATATGGTCTGGCGGGGTTAAAAAACTTACACTCTCCACTTGACTTTTCCTGCTGTGGTAGGGGTGGAAATGGGGCCAGTTTTTTTTTTTTTTCTATGGTGTTTGGCTGAAATAGAGTGGTTATTTTCTAAAAGTTTTCTATCTTTCTGGATATAAATGTCAGAAAAATGTAAAGTATCACTGGACATGGTGTTACATACCTATAGTACCAGCTGCTTGGGAGGCTGAGGTGGGAGGATAACTTGAGCCCAGAGTTTGAGCCCAGCCTGGGCAAAAGATTTTTTTAAAATAGCTGGGTGTGGCGGCACATACCTGTAGTCCCAGTTACTCCG